GTGGTGGTTTGCGCTGGCGGAACAAACTCGCCCCCCTAGCCAGCCTTCTCAGCAACTCGTGCCAAGAGTACTCGTTCACCAGCACCGCCCCTTTAAGAGATTTCCACTGCAGACATTTTTAACTTTTTAAAGGTAAGGGGTGGGGGGAGGCGGGAAGTAGGAGGAAGGGGTGGTGTTGTACCCTCCTGATTTAACCCTCTAGGGTCAGGAAGAAGACAGTGGGATCAATATAGTACTGTGGTAGCATCTAGTGTAGGGGCAGGACATCTTTGATTTTACTTACCTCCCTCGGAGGCTCTAAAGGAGGTTGTTTAAGCTCCTGCCCTGACACAGACATTAAACTTCTGATGGATCCGGGTGTTTGTCCGGACAGCTCACGCATATCATCCCACTCTGTCCCACTCCAGGTCCTTCTCTTAGGACTAAAGTAGCAAAAGCAAGGCTTGTTAAGTTTCAAAGGGGCTTGCTGGCAGGGGCAACTGTGATTCCTGTCAAAGCAGAGGGAGACTCTAACTAAGAGCTAGGACCTCCGTTAGGTGCTGAATAACCACACAGAAGCGTCCTCTGACTTCAAGAGGGTAAAATGTGGCCAGAAATAGAACACAGAATGACCAAGGCAAAGGGTTTCTCCACTTCTCCACTCCAAGCAAAAAAACCCAGTTTGCCCCATGACTCTGCTAACTCTTCCTTCAGCAAAGGAGTTATGGTCTTGGGATCTTCAATTCATGCTGGCTTTGGCTGTCAAAGCAATATGGACTGGGTTTAATCAGGGAAGCTTCGTACACATTTGAGCAACTCCTGGTCTACTCTATTCCACTGCACAAGCTGAGCTGCCCCTCCTTAAAATCATCTTGGGCTTAGCCCTCCTGTAAGGAAATGCATCTTTATGGTTCCAGAAAAGAACAACAAGATCCTAAGAGGCTTGAAATTCAGCCGCTTGTTAAAGCTAGTCTGCTTGGACATAGCTGGATATAAGAGATGTTGCACCACACACCCTGCTCATGGAACTTCCAATCACAACTGGAAGATTGTGATCTGGGTAATTTTTTTACAGTATGGAAGAGGCCGGGTACAGTTTGCTTGTTTGTGGGGCCCATTTCAGGTTTTTTCAGAAACAAAATAGACCTTCTACTTGGCAGATAAAGGGAACTACTCTATGCAGTGTAGGTACACAGAAACATTCCAAGGCCTTCTTGGAATCAGATGAACAAAACATAAACGCAGATCGTAGGTTCTCCCCAGGGAGGGATGTGTGCAAAGGGCAATCTCAGAGTTCATCAAACACTAGAAGAACACTACTTCCCTTTCCTCAGCTAGATAGGATTAACAAATCTGAAAAGAGCTGGAACAGATAAACCTGATGTTCCCAAAGGAGCCTCTACCAACCTAAGCCACCAAGAAATCCAGAAGTAATGTTTGATTAAACTAGGAAGTGCTATAAGGTCCTTCTAGAATTACATTTACATAAAAGGAGAATAAAGGAAAAAGAAGTTTTATTCCTCAGAGATGGTTTTAAAAATCAAGCTGTAACATGTTCCAAATGTTGGCTCCAGCCATAACACTTGCTTTCCTTGTTTCCTTAAAATTTCCAACATACCTAGGTCCTTTAAAAGATGTAAATAGGGCCGGGGATTTAGCTCAGTGGTTTGGGGGCCTGTCTTGCAAGCCCAAAGACCTGAGTTCAATCCCCGGTACCAAAAAAAATAAAAGATGTAAATATATATATCTTTCAGTGTGTGGTATGGTATAAGTTCCAACAGAAACTATTGTAATTTATAAATGCATACTAAGAACCATACTAAAACCTGGTGAACAAAGGCTGTTATCTTTGTATCTCCAAACACTTAGTAGGGACTAAATAAATACCTATGAAATGTATTGATAATATATTAAATCAAGCTCATCACATTGAAATCATATATTGCTCTCAAGAAGAAATGAAAAATTAATCAGCCACATTAATTAGGGTTATTTGAATAAAATAAATCACTTATACTAGATATCTATAGTGAATGTGCCTTTCAAAAACACTACTTCTCTGAGTAAGAATTAATTTGAGCATAATGAGAATCTACTTATGAGTTTTCAAAATTTTACTGACTAGTCCACTCTGTAATAGTTTTGTGACCTACTTAATTTAACATTTAATATTTATATCAGAACTTATACGTGGTAGTGTAGGCAGATTTCTATTGCTGTAAAAATAATTTGAAAATACCAATTAGAGGACAAATTTACTTTGGCTTATGGTTACAGAGGTTCCAATCCATGATTGGATGGCTCAATTGTTTTTGTGTCTCAGATGAAGCAGAGCATCCTGTGACCTAACTCCTACAACCAGGCCCATTTCTTACTATCCCATTCAGCTATGAATTCACTAATTAATTAATCAATCCACTGATGAGGTTAGCTCCTTCATGATCCAATCACCACTTTAGGTCCCACCTCTGAACACTGCTTTTTGGGGATCAAGCCTTCAGTATGAGTTTTTGGGAATCATTTCATATTTAAACAACAGTGGTGATATTAAAATCAAAACCTACCCAAAAAAGCACTTATTTTCTTAATTGATGACAAAAACCTACTTTAGTTTAGCCACCAAAATTCTATAGTCATATCCAGCCTCAGGAAAACAGGAGAAAGAAAAGTCAATTTAGTAATGTGAAAGGAGTGGCAGATATCCCTGGCTGACTCCAAGATGATATGACTGGACTTCTGGTCTACTCAGAGTATAAGATAGCTCACTATTAATCTATGTATTAGATTAATGTCTCTATATTCTGTGTACTGGATGATAACAATCTGTACCTCTTTCCTGTCTTAGATTGTAATTTCCTAAGGAAAAAGATTGGGCCTCTTTAAAATATGAACTATTGGGAATTAGATACATTGATATCTTTTTGGAAATGCTCTGCTCGGTGTCTACTGAATGATCTGTGTAGATTGCTTTAATATCTAGAGACTGAGTCCCAAAGAAGTGTAAGAAAACTTGAAGATTAATTGATTCAGTGATTTTTAGACTTTGGGATTTCAAAATAAATATTAGTTAGCAAGAACAGCAGACATATGTTTGTTAACTTTTTGTTTTGTCTAATAAGTACCCAAAAGAATCTATCAACTACTTAGCACTATTACTTTCCAAAAGAAAACATTTTAAAAGCCAAAAATAGCTGAAATGGTACATCAAAATAAAGAGCAGGTGTTTAAGCCAAACAAATTTAGCTTCATGAAAAAAATCACAGTATTCCATCTTAGACAACTGGGAATATATGAGTGACCAACATGGGTTCCAGGACTGGTCACTTAAATTACTGATAGTATATGCTGTTTATGGCCAAATTCTACTTTGTTGCATACAGTGGTGCTGTAAGTTGTACATACTCTTTGAAAATGGTGGGCCAGGGATTTAGCTCAGTGGTGCAACTGCCTGCCTAGCAGGTCAAGATTCTGAGTTGGATCCCTGGTACCAGATTAAAAAAGAAAAACAAAACACAAAAATCAAAAATGGACATCTTTACTACAATGAGTTCCTCTGACTTTTTCTATCCCTTTATTCAATTTTAGCTTATCACAAACTCATTGACTCTATATGCCACCTTCCTTTCCTTCAAAATTTTAAAAGCCTAATTATCTCTATGCCCACATCTCCTGAAGGAATCATACAACACTGTCTTATAGCAAGGAAAAAAAATACCACCATAACTTGGAGTGGAAAGCATGAAGATACAGCAGCCAGCCCACTGCCTCATCACTGCCTGTGTACTTATCCACAATGACTATTTATTGAGATCACAAGGGCCAGGCATGGTGCTCGTGGTAGACACATGTAATTTCATTAATTTTCTTGAATATCTTCAAGAAGTAAATATAATTCCTTATTATACTTTGCATACAAATGAGAAAGTTGAGACTCAGATGTTAAGCAAGTTTCTGATGGCACGATAGGTAATAAGTGCAGCACTGGCCCAGGGATCTCACTCCAAAGCCTATGTTTATTTTCTTAGTATCTTACTCTTCTTTTCAGCATACAAAGAAAAACTCTTTGTACTCAGAGTTGGAAGATCCAGATTTAAGCCTTAACACTGTCAGCTCTAGCCTTATGACCTTGGGTAAATCTTCCACCTGTTTATTCTGTACAAAGAATACACTATTCAAGGGTAAGGTAATAACTGAGTAGATTATATATGAAAAAAGTGCTTTATAAATTCTAATATAAAATTATGTTACATCTGTGCTTTGTGCTTTTTTTTTTTTTTTTTTTTTTTTTTTTTTTTTTTTGGGTTT